TGTGTGTGTGTGTGTGTGTTTACGCACATGTTTAGCTGTGCTCGCCCTAATAATTCTCGGATTTCGCCTCTGGTTAATTCCGTCTCGAATCAGCTGCTCGACCTGCTCAAACAACTGGTATTCTCGAAGAACACAAATGCAGTTATGACAGCGGAGTTTCAATGTGATGTTTATTTCGAATTGCAAATGCCCTTAGGCAACAAGATGTGAGTTTGTCTCCATTGTTTTCGCAAACGGATTTCATGCATAGTTCAACCTATACAGATTTCCAAACCGTAAGTTTACAGTCACCTGCAGTGGACATCACACAACACAAAAAACGCTATCAACAAACACGCACGCAAGGATAGTTGCCCTAATATTAGACACCAAAGTTCAACATATAGAGAAACCAAAAATTTCCACGATTCATTAGGCGAGACAAACCCTTCGCACGTTTCACGTTCACAACTTCGTAGGAGTGTTTGCTGTACAAACAATGCATTCATTGACATTTGAAATGTTCATACTCACGTGGAGGATCGAATGTCTTGATTCTGGCTGACGCTGAGCTCACTCCCTCAATTCCAATTGTACTGATGCGAACCCAGTACGGTGAGCAAACGTCTAGGCCACCGAGAAACGCTGATTTTTCGGCAACGTATATCTCATACACCAGTCGATTTGTTTCATCATAGACATAAACACCATAACGTGGTCCTTGACGCTTCAAGCACTCGTTGTTATCGTCCCAAGTCGCCAGCAGTCCACGTTTTTTGCTTCGTTCAAGCCGGATATTTGTGGGTGCTTGCGGTGCTGAATACAACGGTGTGGAAGAAGGGTGAACGCGCTAGGTTATAAATTCCACCAATGCAGCTGCCAACTAGAAGAGTTACGAACGATCAGGACTGTGATAGTACGGAGTATGTTCAAAATGTCCAATTCCTGAGTTGAATGAACAAATCAATAGAAATGGTTTCCAGTCATCATGTGTGCAATTGTCCGCGACATGCTACCACCGATTGACCCAGTGAGCCCAGTCACGAGGAGATAAGTAAACCAAGAGTAGTTGGATTTTCTAACGCCTTCGAATGACCGAAACAAAGCCACATATCAAACGCATATACATGACTATTTATAACGTTAATGAGAGGGAGAGAGCTCGAAATGGCTGAGTAGTAGAGGCGCGAGCTTACTGGCCGAAGGATCCGTGGTTTAAACTCGACATCCTCACCTCGACCGCTTCCATCTAGGCTTGTACGACTTGACATCATTTCGGCCGGCATCCCAGTACCGGCTTCGCCAATCTAGTAGCTCACGCGGAAAGCCTGGTCCCCGCGTTTACAACAACAACATCTTTTTTCAATTCTTTCTGAAGAGCTTCGCAACTAAAGAATCAATCCCACAGAACCAACCTACCACACATTCACCCCGTTTGGTCTAGTAATCTTAGCATGCACCATAACCTCGGGAAAATCCTTATAAAAGAAACTACTCACAAGGTAGCTGAAAAATCTTCAACAGCCCACGACCTGTTTCGTCCTTGTTGGGGCTCATCAGGTAGGCGCACTCCCCGAGTTTCCGTCAAGCTTATGTTCGTTCTACTTGAGATGACTGGCCTAGAGCTTGGAAGGCGCTTTTCCGTTCTGTAGAACGATCGGACTTGGTAAGATTTACGTTGTCCGCACCCGATTTGGTAGTCTTCCAAAAACGCAGCTAATGAAAATTCGGCTGTTTTTTCTCGTTCTTCTCGAAGATCGTTTTGTCGTAGGGCTAATTCATCGTCCTCGGCACCAGTTTACAAATGGTGGGCCACAGAACCTGGTGGGAAAATGGACTAATTTGTCTCTCAATTGTATAATTAGGGCTAGATTGGATGTGAAACTCAAATGCACGTCTCACTGTCAAATTAATGAGCCATCTCGTTACTAACCCAGAAACGAGGTCTCATTTGAACGTATGATACTGAAAAATTTTGTCCTCGTAACATGCTGGTGGGTTTCAAATTTACTCATAAACATGTTAGCCGGGAACGGACTTGAGTAAAAGCCTGATTGGAGACACGTAAATTTGCTGACGGATTGC